TAAAAAAAAAGTTGTCCAAATTTACTTATCTGTGAGTGTAGTTATGATCGGTAGGATACTTTTGCACGTTACTGTATCAGTACAGGAGATCTTACGAGAGGATTCCTATACCAGCAAATTTATCCACATGACAGTACCAGATCCATCAGACTTTGGGAAGATGTGCCTTGCATTTGCTTCTGATGAAATAGCTAGATTGTTAATACGCCAAACTCAATTAGAAGACAACGTGAAAGTTATCCGATTCCTTGATTCTACAGCAAATTACTCAGATGCTGGTGGAATCCGTGGCAAGCTCTTTGAGCTATTTGCCCATGAAAGATTGCAAAAAGGTGGTGTGTATGAAATAAGGCACCTGGAAAATGCTAAAAATGCTACTCCGGCTACCACTACTAGAGTCACATATCCAGCATGGGAGTTGAATGAATACACAGACAACAATATAAAGAAAGGTGTTTACAACCTGCCACTATCAAAAAATAATGAAACAGTGGATTCTTTGGTGCTTGATGAACATAACAGGGATGCCTTTTTATTTCAGATGACGGTTAATGAGCATCATGGTGCTAAGGTTAGATAAGAACAGTGGTCATTAATGTTAATGGTTTACTTTATTGGTTAATTCCATGGCTAATGCCCATATTTGATTAGGTTAATGGTCTTAAATCTCTCGAAAGTTTTCTTTCAAATTACGAAAGAATAAGTTTGATTTACGTCGTTCCGCGAGACAAATTTGATAAATATCCCTGGCAAAGTTACCGAACAACGGCAGGCAAAACATTTAAAAAATGGAATACAACAAACAGATGGATCAAGGATATAAATCAATTTGTGCTCAAAATGGAACTGTCAGAGGCTCCAAAACGCCAAAATGACAAGGAAATAACAAACAACGATAATAATAAGCACGTGAAGACATGAAAGTGTATATATTTGTGTAAGTAGGCGTTTTTTGACAATTTGTCCTAACATATATATATATATATTGCTGAATCAGTTTTCTGGAAAATCCGAACAAAAGCCGCCGGCGTAGCATTTTATTTTTTTGAATAGATCCATATATTTGTCGTAGTTGCAAAAACAGTATTCACTCTGGTGGAGCTACCAATAAAAATTGCTTGAGTACTAGCATTAAGCATGATCTGATGTTCACTTTGTCTGGTTTTGTTGCAATACGCCCATATTAGTATTGCTTTCATTAGACTTATACAATGTCCAATTAATTAAGATAATAATAATGGCAGTCACAAAAGACTACCGTTCTGACCCTAATTATTATGCACGGGACTGCCAATTTTTTTTTGGGCACCATGATCATTGTTGCAACAATTCAGAAATTATTAAGCACAGCAAATCCAAGAAAAAGTATGCGTTCACATCAGTCACATTATTTTAAGAAAGCAATGAAAACTGTTTAATTAATGAAAGTAATGTCTTTAATCAATCTTTTACAATTGGACAAATAATGTTAAGTTAATATGGACAAGATTTGATTTTTTTCTGTTGGTGATGCAACAAAACTTCAGAGTCAGTGATGCACGAAATTAATAAAATATTTAATCTAACCATGCCAGCAGAAATTTATGTTTTTAATAACCTAACCAGACAGTGATAAAAAAGGCTTCTTGTGGAATTTATTTCAAGAAACATGCATGCTAACACAGTGAACCCTCTCTAATATCCACCCCGTTAATATCAACCTCTCTTTATTAGCAACAGTGGTTACAGAACGGATTTCTCCATATTTAAATTCTCCCGCATATATCAATTTGGATATCATACCCCGTTGATATCCCTATCAACACATATCAGATTTTATTCCTAATTAAATGTACCTCGCTGATATCAACATCAATATAAATTAGTATTTTAAAATTTAAAATTCTGATCTACAATATCGTCTCTTTATAATACGATTTGCGTACTAAAGTATAAACATACTCCACACGTCTAATTCTGATAATTGTAATGAAAGCAGCGACATTGAAATCTCAATCTACGGCATTGGAACAATGCAAATTATTTCTGCAGTATGTAAAACAGCAAGACCCCGCCAAATTCTAGAAGAGCAAAACATGCCAAAATTGCAAAGTCTGTTGCGACGCATCAATTGAATATATACGAGGCAACAAAAAAAGTTAACAGATTTTTTCATCAAAGTGAGAGAGAACCACAATTCAGAAGAGGTGAACAAATTGGTTTAGCTTATATGGAGAAAAAAATTAAGAAATTTTTATCATAAATAAAGTTTAAGATTTTATTCGAGACGTAACATATAACGTCATTATTTGAAACCCTAACGCCCCCTATAATATCCAACCCGCATATATCGGCCGGTCCCGTGGGGTTTATATTAGATGTAGTAATACAATAAACTCTCCTAAGTACACGTTTGTCGGGACCATAGCGAAAAAAATCCAAAAGTATGCATTTACAGAGCATGCATTTACAGAGAGCATAATACATAATGTTCTTATAAACCATACCGCGCATTTACGGAGAGAATTTGTGAATAGAACTATTAATAAGGGAGAGCAATGGCATGACAATATGTGTCCAAGCATACAATTTACATTCAGTCTTGTTAACAGAAAATGTTCTTGTCAAGTCAATAATCACAGAAGAACAATTCATCGTTAACCCTTTGGGATTTAACTTGACTTGAGCGGAGCTGTGTCTTTTTATACTTAGACCAGGCTTTTTACTACTCACGATGCTAGACGATAAATATCAATATCCGGGTATCTTCGCTATTTTCTACTGATGAGGAATAGTTCGATAGTCTGTAGGTTTGGGGGGGTTATAGCAAATGCGTTTCTACTTAAACAAATATTTATCACAATGCCACGAGAGTAATCGAAGGACAAAAAGCGAATACTTCTAAACGATATAGGGATTAACGGTTCGCGGCTATATTGAATAGTACTGGGGAATAAATATCAATCACATTATAAGAAATTACTCGTTTATTAACAAAAATATGAATATAAAAAAACGAAACTATAAGGACGCTATGAAACACACCATTTGTAGCGGAAGTCATTGCTTAAATACTTTCGCTTTCGCCTATTTCTAAACTACGTGTACTACTTACTCTAACCATACTAATCGATGGAACTAATTATTGTACGACTGCGTAGATATTAATATAAACGTAAAATGTTTGAAATTACACTGAAATGTGAGGGGAATATATATCCAGCATAATATTGTGTAATTTGAACAGAAATAAATTGAGAAGCCTACCTCAATCGTTCGAATTTATTCAAACATGCCGCGCTGTACTAATTGCAAAAAGACTCTTTCAGAAAGCAATTTTAAAAAATTCAATGAGACCCTATCGAAAACGTGCGTTCAGTGTCTGGATAAAGAAAGAAAAAGCACATCATTCACTAAATTAATTAGAAAATGGTTCATCAGAATATCAGAATATTCAGACCGATACATCGTCAGCTATTGACATCCAAATAGACAACGTTGAAAATAAGGGGGAGGTCCATATTGATGAACTGCCTCAACTAGTTAGCGAATTAGTGTCGGGAAATAATTTGTTCGAATTCGAATTAGACGTTATATTTGACAATGAGGAAGGGGAGAACTCTATTTCTCAAATTGCTGAGAGAATTCGAGATGAATTTGCAGAAAGCGACGGATACAAATGGAAGTATATACTACGTTATTTTGACGTAAGTTCTAAGAATAAAATTATTGACTAAAATTTATTCAGCAAGTGAAAGACAAATAATTTCGCGCGTTTCCCAGGGAGTATCGCTACTATTTATTATAACTGTAGTCAATCAAATATCTTTGATAATTTTAAAGATACGAATCGAAGACAATTTAAGCGGTATGAATGCAAGGGCAACTTATTGTTCGAATCAATATAACAAGTGGATACGCTCGCGTACATATAAGATATAGATCATATCATAAACGGCCGAATATATCCATTGGAGTGTCAAGTGAAGTTGTCAGCAAAATACGAAAAAATTATCACCTAGATCCTTTACAGTTACGTACCCATTTAAATGCCCGCTTTGATATAAAAGACGTGACTGCGAAGCAAATCTATTATTGGTGGAGCAATTCTGTGCAATCTAAGGGCCTTCTCAATAGCTTTGATGCCCCGATCAAATTTAGAAGTCATACAAAGTAGGGGCATCAGCTCTCAACAGCTTTCTAAACAGAGTAATACCATATTTACATGTGATAAAATTCATAAGTGACTGCAATTAAGCATACGCGCATAAATAATGCCCTTCTGTATGAGATTGTTGTACTGTTAATGATGATATTGTCTATAGCCGGAAAAGACTTATTGCCTTCATAGTAACAGAAGTAATAAAATCTAAACAAGAGTTTGATGCAAGATTAATTTATATAGAATTAGCATTTCTGTTTGATTCGATGTCAAGGATTAATCGTACACCTCGTTTACTATGGCAAAAACAATGGCTTATTGGACAAACATATTTCCATATCTTAATAACGAGAGCGACAATAATGGTTTTAAATCTCATTTTCGCATTTTGCAATCTACGTTCAATCGACTGCTTAATATCCTACAGCAACATCCTAACTATTTATCCACACCCTTTCGACCTCAAACTCCCATTGAAATTCAAGTTGGCATTGTGATTCAATGATTAGCAAATCCTCTAGGATATCGCCAACTAGAACAAATGTTTGGTGTTAGCCAAGGATTTTTTAGTCGCACATTTTACTAAACGGTTTATTGGAAGCCATTCTGGACACCCTCTAATATTATTATCATCGTTTGTATCAATCAAACCCGCATATGTTGTGGGTGTTTGTATAATAAAGGATCCGAGGTTTTTTTGCTTCTTAGGCATTGCAACAAATATGAAAAAAAAAAAGATTTCTTGACTCAAGTTAATAAATAATGTATGTTCTATCCCATGTACTGCTCTCATATAAAAAATAAACAATTTCCAATTTAGGGATGCCCCCCAATACCCCACTAAATAACTTCGATTTCCAAATTTGATCGGGGCGTCAAGCTGTTGAGAAGGCCCTAAAAATGCATCTGATGGCGTAATTAAATAGTGTAAACGTTCGTCATACATTGATAATTATTTATTCCCAATTCTGGACAAGCTTATACGTTATTAATTATTATTATTATGACGTTTCCAATTATGAATTTAAGATGTGCAAATACAAAAACACACGACAACCCCGATTGAGAGAATTTAATAATAAAGTTCGATGGTAGTAAACAGAGGGAGTTTTCAAACACATTAAAGATATTACATTAATTCTTAATGAGATGAGTGGATATTTGAGACATTTGTATGCCAATACTTCAGTGTTGCAGTATTATCAAGAAATTCAGGACAATTCATCAACGCGCCGTCATTATTGGGTGGTACATTGCGCGATTGCTAACCGTATTACATGTATATTTCTAGCATCAGGGCAAACTGGAAGCCACTTCACTACGCCATTAATACTTGAATCGATATCAGTATCTAATTTTGAGTATGTTTAATTATCACTTACAACACGTGACATAGTGGATGGGATATCAGTGGGATGGGAAGATGAAGCGTCGATAAGAAACATTGTTTTAAAAATAAGCATTGCAATACCATGTCGCATGATTATGTATACATCTCAGCAATAGTGCGTTACTCGCTGTCTCTATTATGATATACGGAATATGAAATTATTGATGACATACATGAGATGAATATCGTTAAATGTACATACTTCCGTTAGCGCCTTGTTATTACAGTATTAGCTATGCTATTCTCACTTTTGTAGAAACATCAACGGCTGCTATTCTTATTTCCATTATATCTTTACTTTAGGTCCACCAAGCAACAACACGCGTTTCCAGTGGTGTTATTCTATACGTCGTTTACACGATCTAAAGTTTATAATTAATCGAAACAGATTTTTGCTGATAGCACATGCAGAAGGTACAATGAAGATGAATGTCTATGCCCATTAAGACTGTCTCAGATTCTGTGTCTGCTCTACCCCAAGAATATATATATGCACACCACTCATAACAGTAAGCAAGTTAATGGAGATGTTGTTATTAATCAAATAAGTTTCTTTATGACAATTGTGAAAGAATCTGTTGCAATTAGAAGTTTATCCTTAACATGCTAACAACAATTGAGATGACAAGTGGTGTCATTAGAGTTGTGTGTTCTTTAGCCATTGTTTGTGATGATTGTTGACACCATATCATGATGAAAGTAGTGATAGAATGAATGTCATTGTTGCAATAAACTTTATTTCAAGTCAAGCAAGTATCATTGCTGCGATTAAGATCGTTTTCTATTTGAGGATTTGCATCAATGAATATGCAAGCACTAAAGGCATCAAGCATCAGTAAAATATACATCTGCTATTACTATTACTATGGGGGGTTGTTGCTCAGTTTCGTATCAATTACCAAACCACATTTCGGAATTCTGATTTGTTGCTGCTCAATCGTGTGTGTGTATTTCCGATTTGCATTATATTACTGTGCAACCTTAAATCACGCATACATCAGCAATAAATCAGAATACTGATTGATGAAAAAATTGCAGGCGAAATGCCATATATTCTGATTTATTGGTTTATCGACCAGTGAATAGTATATCTCTAAAGACACAAATGCAAACGCAGATAAAATAGAACAAAAAATAGGCCAAGCGCAGATGCTCTGTATCTAACACTAATGTTTCTAATAAATAATCAATCAATTATTTATTTTTTTATTTGAACTTTTCTACAACCGATAATATACTTTGAAGAATCGTGAGTGCGATACCCAAAACACGAACAAAACGCAAAACATTGTTGCTTCTGAGCTCGAAAACAATAGCGATAACGCCTTATACCCAAAAAATGTAAAGACAAACAAATCGTTACGATATTCCAGTGAAGACTATTTATCAGGTATTCCTACTCGTAACTAAGATTCTTGAAAACGCTCTATTCAATCGCCAGTACATACATTTATGCCTGTTGATATAGAGTATATTAATCAAACCCCTCATTGCGTTTTACGACTTTATGGCCCACTCATAAATGGTCAGAAAGCGGTTGTGACAATTACTGGTATTAGTGATATACACAGGCAAACTCGATAAGTCGGTCTCTCGATGATTCAATTTTGGCCTAAGAAGGCCAAAACTTCCCAAGCCCTTTTCTCAGTTTTAATATTTAAAATCTCTCGATAAGTCGGTTCTCTCGATAAGTCGGTCCATCATGCATGACCGACTTATCGAGTTTGCCTGTGTATCTAGAATGAGGGTGCCCCTGTTTATAATGACGAAGAGTAGGTAGAGAATTGCTATTTATGGTAAAATACGTTTTCCACGTGCAAGGGAATGTATGGAGTGACGATCGGGGTACAGTTATTGGATGAAAACTTTTCCGGACCGTTTCAACATTGATTTCAGGCTTCCTTGTATTATATTTGACAATTTTCTCATGCTCATCAAGTACATCAGGGTGACCAGGAGGGCTCAAGAGTTCTTTTTCCACAGTTTTCAGCCCCCACAGGCCAAGCTACATATATGGCCATCACTTATACATGACCATTGTGCATCACAGGCTCGCCACACCCATACCTACTCAGATGCCAAGAATGCCCTGAAAAATGGAGTAAGAAATGTAAAAGAGAACATAAAAGAGGGTGTAAAGACAGATTTGGTATTGTATCTTTTTGTCCTTGTGATCAATATGTTCTTTTTACAGTGTGTTCTGACTTACACCTTGACAATGCTAGTCTGCTTGGAAGACTGTAAAGTGGATCAGCACTGGGATTTGCTTAGTATTATTCGACCTCAGCTTTGCCAGCTGGTACAACCATCGGAATGAGAGGATTCTCCTTCATGCCTTTGAACATGGTTCCTGTCCAGAACCTGATGTTAAGCAGAAACAGTTGATTGACCGTGAGGTTGTTATCAAGAAACTGAGACAAATTCTCAAGCCAATCTCTGATGATACTTATCATGTCATTGTTGGGAACCATGGAACTGGGAAGACTACAGTGGTCCGGCAGTGTGCTAGGGATGTTGGAAAAGGAGTCATTTATGTTGATGTCCCACCAGTATTGGATAACTTTGTTAATAATCTTGCAGATGCTATTGGATTCAAGGAGCATGTGTCCATTACTGAATCATTGAAACGAAAGATTCTAGGCAATAGTGAGTCTGGTAAGGTTATTGTAAAGAAGAAATACTGGTGTTTGCTCTGCACTCACTTCTTGTCTTATAGCTGAACGGCCCAGATTCTCTCGTGTCCTGGATGCCTTTGAAAGAGGAGCTAGAAAATACAAGGCAAATAATGGCAAACCTCCAG